CTGCAGCAGCAGAGTCAGCAGGAAGGCGGCGGCCAGTGTGAACCACACGGCACGCAGCGGGTTCAGCGCCGAGAGCTCGGTCCCCACCCAGGGAGCCATGGCAGGCGCGCCCGGCGTCCGCGCTCCCGGAGCCCGGACCGCCAGCCGGCGGACAGTCGCCACTCGTGAGCAGCTCACCGAGCTCAGCCAGGCGGGACGTCGGTGACGCAGCGCGGGGCGGGGACGCGCTCGGCCCCGCCCACTGGGCCGAGGCTCCGCCCCGCCGGGCGCCTTCGCGCGTCCAGGTCACATTGTTGGTGGCTAGTGGCTCTCTGTCCGTAGTCTGTCAGAGGTGTCCAGAGGGAACCCCACAATATAATTCAACAATATGGTTCAAAGAAGCGGAACGAACAAGACAACTTGTCTGCACGTCTACACTGCAGCATTATTTTCAATGGAAAAGTGGAAACAATCCAGAATGTTCCACCTTAAGGTATTTAGCTAAATTATTGTACAATAACACACTGGAATATCATGAAGCCATTAAAATGATAATTATGAAGACTCTAGAAACACGGAAAGTTAATGATAACTGAAACTATAGGTTAAGTGAAAAAAACTGTCTATAAAATGTATAGCTACGATTGCAAACAACTATATTCATATGAATGTGTGTATATGGATAAAGAAAGTGGGTCATACACAAAAATGAGTAATTGTATTAGGTTGTTGGGAATGTGTATAATTTAAACACATGAAGTAGAAAATCAGCAAAGCACTTGCAAATACAGAAATGAAGGTGGTAAAAATTGTCTTTCAAAAACTGCAGGCGTCTCCCTACTAGAGTTCCACTACTTAGAGGCAAAGTTTTTAACTCCGTCATCGTTTCTTCTGACATTTACTTCCCTGTAGTTACAGTGCTGTTTTTCTTGACTCATCAGTTTTAAACGTTGATTTTCAGTTAGGACAAGTGAACATTTAACTCTTTTCAGTAATATTTTTTGAAGCCTTGAAAATGTCAGTTCAAAAAAATATTATTGTATGCCTATTATGTGACAGGCATTGTTTTGGACACTGAGAACAGAGAGGCTTACAGGATAATCCCTCCCTTTCTGGAGCTTACATTCTTAAGTTTGGATGGCAGGTGTGGGGTGGTGGAGGGGAGCGCCAATCCTTACCCCAATGAGATACCCTACATGTGTGTTGAATAAGCATCAAGGAACTGGGTGCGAAGGTTAATGTGGCTTGAACAGTCCTTTGGATTGTTAAATGTGCCAATTTCTTGAAGTTTTGCTTCTTTATGCAAGGACATCAGGTTTTACAAATTACCTGAGAGCTACGTGCTAAAGGATGGTCATCTTGTTTTTCCAGCAGGAACAATGAGGTCTCTTTGTAATGACCCAGGGTCTCATCTGCAGGGGTTGCCCCCTTCATTGTTTCTTCACTGTGCTTAGGTTAACCCCATAGAAATGCAGCTGGCCTTTCCATGACATCTTTCCAGATGAGCTACCTGGAAGTGCATTGCAGGGACCAAGCTTCCTGGGTTGGAAGTTTTTTTGTAGTTACCTGACCTGGGTAAAGATTGCAAAACAAGGTGTGTTTTTGTGTTTTCATGTGTGTGTGTGTGTGTGTATAGAAACAGGGAAGATAAACTTATCCCATTTTTTGGTTTGGATTTTAATCGAAGTGCACAGCTCATACTCAGCCAAGCCCCCTGCAGAGGGCAGTGGCTGAATAGGAAACCCCAAGTTGGATCCACTTGAGAGCATTTGTTAATGTTTAAATCCTTACTAGGCTGTGTTATTTCAAAAGTGCAAAACCAGGCTAAAGTCTGTTAGAAACATCATTGTCAATAAGTAGCAATCAGTTTTTGTCTTCCTTCATTTAATTACCAGCACTGTATAATCAACCAACCTCTGGCCTGGCCTACAGTAAATGACAGTGCCATTTTTCTAAGTGTTCAGGCCCAAAACCTTGAACTCAACCTTGATTCCTCCCTTGCTCTCACAGCCCAAATACAATCTGTCAGCAAATCCGGTTGGCTCTACCTTCACACTGTGAAACTAAATTCAGTCACCTTTGGAGTCTGTGTTTTCCTGAAGGCCCTAGCCAGTTCAGTAAATAAAAAGAAATGAGGTCTAAGGACTGCAAACTAAGAAACAAGCTGTCATTACTTGAAGATAATATAAAACTCCAGTAGAGTCTACAGACAAGATATTAGAACTAATAGAGTTTGGTAAGGTTGCTGGATACAAAAACCAGTTTCTAAATATTGATCATTTCTATTTTCCAGTAACAAACTGAAAATAATGTTTTAAAGATACCATTTCAATGGCAATAAACTATTATGTGTCTAGGATTAAATCTAATAAAAGGTATGAAGTCTTCAAATAAAATAAAATGTTACTGATATTAAAGAAGGCTTTTTTAAACATTTTTTATTGAGTATATAGTCATTTTACAATGTTGTGTCAAATTCTAGTGTAGAGCACAATTTTTCAAAGAAGACATTTTAAAGGAGAGATATACTAAGCTCACAGATTGGAAGTCTCAGGATAGTTAAAATGACAAATCTCCCCAAGCTGATTTATGGAATAAATGTAATTCCAATCAAACCCCAGCTTTTAGTGGAACTTAAGAAGCTGATTCTAAAGTTTATATGGAGGTAGGAAGGGCTAAAGATGGCCAAGGTTCTCTTGAAGATGGAAAAGTTAGAGGACTTGCTTCATGAGATATCAAGGCTAGTACAGAGATGCAGTGGTATGTCCATGTGGTGTGAAAGCAGAGATAGACAAATAGACAGTGGGGTATAATAGACAGTCCAGAGACAGAACCTCTACCCACTTCCCACACTCCCTTTATATTTCTGCATAGCCCTTGGTACCACATTCCATGCCATATACATTCATTTCTTAATTTAAGAAGCACACCCGTGCCTCCTGGAACACAAAGGTACTCAGTATATATCTATGGAATGACTGAATGAATGCATGGATGAGTGAACAAATTTACTGAGCCTCTACTGTGTGTAAAGTTTCATACAATAAGCTATGGGGAGGGGTCCACAGGGCCGAGATCATAGGCTCCCTGAACACTGTATCAGAGTGAAAAGCCCAGGGGCTTCGGAGGCAGACACACTTGGGTTAGACTGATGGCTCTGCTACTTAACAATCAGCTGAGTAATTTACGGTCGCCTCTAAGATAGAAGCCATCTCATGGGCTGCTGTGATGGTTGAGTGAAATTCTGTATGGAAAGCTCTGTGCACAGAATAGGTCCTCAACAAGTGTTTGCATCTCTCTGCATTTTCTTCATCTGTACAGTGGGCATGAGACAGTCTTCCTGAAAGAGATCCAATAAGATTGATCTAAATGAAAGCACCTCACACACCACCTGTCACACAGATGTTCAGAAATGCTTATTTCATGTACCTTTGAAAAAATAACCACAATGAAGAAGAGAATAAGGGCTAAATGGGTGGATAGGTCATTTCTAACTGGGGTGGTCAGTGAAGGAAGTTAGATCTTGAAGAATGGTGAGAGTTCCTAGTAGATGAAGAGAAAAAAGGGAAAGAGAACCTTTTAGACCAAGGAAGCGGCACCAGCAAGGTCCTATTTTGGTGGTGATGGTGGTGGTGGTGCATCAAATCCCACTCTGTAGAAAGTTATCTTTGTTCACACTTTGCAAGCAGGTAGAGTGTTGACATCAGCTGCAGGCTTCTCCGATTTGATGCCGCTGCTTCTTTGTCTACGTGATTTGGCTTCCCTGGTTGAACAGAAGACCTAGGTGTACAGCATCCTATGTCTGCTGTCACCTTGATGTACAACACACTGCATCTGCTTATATTTGGTCCATGGCAGTGATTGAATTTTAAACAAAGGAGTAGCATGATTAGACTTTTCAGCTTATTCTGACAGCAGGGTGGAGAGTGAATGGGATCAGGGCCCGGGCAAGGCGAAAGGCAGGAGAGCAGGTAGAAGCGTCTGTGAAAGTTTGGTTGTGGCCTAAAGGAAAACTCTGGCAGTGGGGAGTGAGGAGTGAATGCTTCTGAGATGCGGATGCTTTGCTTCTTTTTCTTCCCAGCCTGAATTCATGCTCCCTTGGTGCTTTTTTATACTTCCCACTCCACACACACACCCCAGTGCTCATTCCTGGTTTTCTCTTGCAGTAGCCTTGCAAGCCCCCAACCCTGTGTGGACCCAACCACCCACTTTCTATCAGAGCTACAGAGCAGGATGGGTTCATGACCTGAATTCATGGGACACGCCAAGCCACCTGACGGTCCTTTCATTTGCTTTTTGTCAAATTCCGAGGCCATCATCCTGCGTTGGGTCTTCACAATCTTCTCCATCCAAATCCCCTGGCACTTTGCCCTCTCACCTTTCACTCTCAGAAGGTGATCTGAATACCTACTTCCCAGTAAAGATCGTTCATGGGGGCGCTCTATGCATCTGTGGTTATATTGATGGCCACTCCTGTCCTTACCTCCTTTTGCCACTCAATCCTGAGCCAGCCCTAATATAAATCCTGGCACAGCTGTTGGGCCTGCTCCTCCCCACCTAGCTCTCATCAGCATTCTGTCTGAGTCTTCAAGTTCCACTTTGTCTTTATTACCCCATAACTGAGCCTGGGCCATGGCTTCCCCTTCATTCCCTTGGCCTGTTTGCTCTCAGCAGCTCTAGGTCGATGCCTTTCCTTCCCTAAGGTCCAGCTTTGTCTTATGCCTTCCGTTCCATCCCCCATGTTGTGGGTTGGGTCCTACAAAGATTTATTATGTTGAAGTTCTACCCCTCAGTACCTCAGAATGTAACCTTACTTGGAAATCATATTTATTCATGCAATATGTTTTTCAAGCACAAGCACTTTTTGTTACCATGTGCCTTAGTCCCCACCCATTAAGATAATAATCTGCTTCTCCTCACCCTTCCATGCTCAACCTTGCTGATAAGACATGTCTTAGGGGTTTTTTTT